GGGGATCCAAGATGGCTACCATAGATTTAGCCAATCAAATTTCGCTAAGCGCCATCGTTTGCAAATGCGCCCTCAATTTACTCAGAAAGTTCAGTACAGCTAGTTACCTGTATGTTTCAAACTCGAGCGTTGCGATGTTTGGGTGTAATGTATACGATTTTAATTTTTATTCTTTGGTACTTTATTTTTGAATAAGATGCTTCACTTGGCCTCGTTTTGGCTACAATAGTTTAATAATTTGTTATTACCATTACTCATTATCAATAATGAAATAATAGTCAGTCAGAGGGCTTATTAATATGTAATAAAATGTATACTAAGCCTGAAGGTGGCGCTTTACTACGACGGCCATCTTGGATGGTACACATACATAACTCTGCATTGCTGCGCCATCTTGTCAGCACTCTAGTTGTTTAATAGCTCTATGGTGTCACCAAGTTGATTGTAATCCTATTGGTCAGCTCTGCGCTTTACGCACTTCGCGCGTACAATAGAACATAAGAACAACCTTTGTTACGTAATTTCTGATTCAAAGGAATGTGAAAGAAACTTGTGATGTAATAATCAGAAGTATCTTCTTCTTTCAACTGATGAACATTGCTTCGAAATTGCTCTTCATTCAATCGAAATATTACCGCTTTTAATCTCCGAACTAGTTTTAAAATCCCACGCATCGATTCTCTTTTACGTCTGCTATACTTATTGACTTTAGTATGGCAAAATTGAAGTTTAAGAGAGAAAGAAATTCATCTTTAGATGAAGGCCAGCACAGAACGGCGGCTAAATCATCAGATTCAAATGAGTATCCGGCCACAATGCGCGTTACTAGGTCCAGCCAAAAGCGGAGACCAAGGCTTGGATCTAGGGGCTGCCCCTATTCCAGAAAAAGTGTTAGCAAACCTACTACCAGTGTTTGTGAGTTAGTTGTAGTAGAAGAATTAGATAAACTTTTGAAGTCGAAAAATAGTTATAACATTGATGGAAATAACAAAATTAACTCTAGAAGTAGTAGTAAGCCTGGTATTCAGCTGTCCTCACCAAGCGACAACATAGGCCTAGTCAATATGTTTAATAGTAGTACCAATGACAATAATAATATAAGTAGAAAGTCTAGTCTTACTAATAGTGGTAGAGTTGGTAGTGGTAGTGATAGAGCTATTGATATTGCTAGTGCCAGTGGTAGTCTAATTATTGGTATAAGCAACGGAAATAGCACACCTTTGCATAGAAGTAGTAGTAGTACCAGTAGTAGTGGTAGTAGTAGTAGTAGTAGTAGTAGTAGTAGTAGTAGTAGTAGTAGTAGTAGTAGTAGTAGTAGTAGTAGTAGTAGTAGTAGTAGTAGTAGTAGTAGTAGTAGTAGTAGTAGTAGTAGCAGCAGTAGCAGTAGCAGTAGTAGTAGCAGTAGCAGTAGTAGTAGTAGTAGCTATAGCAGTAGTAGTAGCAGAAATAGCAATAGCAGTGGTAGTAGTAGTCGTAGTAGCAGTGGCAGTAGCCGTGACAGTAGCCGTGGCAGTTGCAGTGGCAATAGCAGTGATAGTAGCAGTGGCAGTCACAGTGGCACTGGCAGTGGCAGTAGCAGTGACAGTCGCAGTGGCAGTGGTAGTAGCAGTGGTAGTAGTTACAGCATAAACAATTCTAGTGGCGATAGTAGTAGCACTGTTGTAATAGTGGGCGATGGTGATATATTGTTTCATTTCCCAGCCAGTGACCCCAATTCCTCTGACGATCTTATGAATGAAAGTTATGAATATGAAGCTAATACAGACTTTTTAAAATCGTTAAATGAAAGACAGAAAATCACTCGAAATCCTTGGGCGCACTTCTCGACGACAGAGTCTGTCAGAGATCACATGATTGATTTTATGCTAGATATCCAATCAGAACTCAGACGTTATGGATACGTCATCGATTATAACGTAGTTCAACGTGGTATTACGATTATAGAAAGTGTAATGATTTGTGATAAGACAGCATTTGGTCTTGCGGACCTGGAAGAAATGGCAATCGCAGCATTATGCCTTGCATTGAAATGCGCGGAACGATACCAGTCACGACACATCATCTCATATGCTTGCGAATGTATTCAGGGTGGTTACTTCGATCCCAAACGAATTTCACAAACAGAAGCTAAAATATTACGGATTTTGAACTTTAATATCAATAGCGTCACTTACCTCGATTTCATTCATGCCTTTTGCGATATTGCTATTAGCAAGACTGACACTAAATACGGCAAAAGAAGAATTGAGTTAATAAGGCGTGGCGCTTTACTACGACGGCCATCTTGGATGGTACACATACATAACTCTGCATTGCTGCGCCATCTTGTCAGCACTCTAGTTGTTTAATAGCTCTATTGTGTCACCAAGTTGATTGTAATCCTATTGGTCAGCTCTGCGCTTTACGCACTTCGCGCGTACAATAGAACATAAGAACAACCTTTGTTACGTAATTTCTGATTCAAAGGAGTGTGAAAGAAACTTGTGATGTAATAATCAGAAGTATCTTCTTCTTTCAACCGATGAACATTGCTTCGAAATTGCTCTTCATTCAATCGAAATATTACCGCTTTTAATCTCCGAACCAGTTTTAAAATCCCACGCATCGATTCTCTTTTTCGTCTGCTATACTTATTGACTTTAGTATGGCAAAATTGAAGTTTAAGAGAGAAAGAAATTCATCTTTAGATGAAGGCCAGCAGAGAACGGCGGCTAAATCATCGGATTCAGATGAGTATCCGGCCACAATGCGCGTTACTAGGTCCAGCCAAAAGCGGAGACCAAGGCTTGGATCTAGGGCCTGCCCCTATTCCAGAAAAAGTGTTAGCAGACCTACTACCAGTGTTTGTGAGTTAGTTGTAGTAGAAGAATTAGATACACTTTTGAAGTCGAAAAATAGTTATAACATTGATGGAAATAACAAAATTAACTCTAGAAGTAGTAGTAAGCCTGGTATTCAGCTGTCCTCACCAAGCGACAACATAGGCCTAATCAATTATATGTTTAATAGCAGCACCAATGACAATAATAATATAAGTAGAAGTTCTAGTCTTACTAATAGTGGTAGTGTTGGTAGTGATAGAGCTATTGATATTGCTAGTGCCAGTGGTAGTCTAATTATTGGTATAAGCAACGGAAATAGCACACCTTGGCATAGAAATAGTAGTACCAGTAGTAGTAGCAGCAGCAGCAGCAACAGCAGCAGTATCAGTAGTAGTAGTAGTAGTAGTAGTAGTGGTAGTAGTAGTAGTAGTAGTAGTAGTAGTAGTAGTAGTAGTAGTAGTAGTAGTAGTAGTAGTAGTAGTAGTAGTAGTAGTAGTAGTAGTAGTAGCAGTAGTAGTAGCTGTGGCAGTAGTAGTAGCAGAAATAGCAGTACCAGTGGTAGTACTAGTTGTAGTAGCAGTGACAGTAGCCGTGGCAGTTGCAGTGGCAATAGCAGTAGCAGTGATAGTAGCAGTGGCAGTCGCAGTGGCACTGGCAGTGGCAGTAGCAGTGACAGTCGCAGTGGCAATAGCAGTGGCAGTGGTAGTAGCAGTCGCAGTACCAGTGACAGTCACAGTACCAGTGATAGTAGCAGTGGTAGTAGTTACAGCATAAAAAATTCTAGTGGCGATAGTAGCACTGTTGTAGTAGTGGGCGATGGTGATATATTGTTTCATTTCCCAGCCAGTGACCCCAATTCCTCTGACAATCTTATGAATGAAAGTTATGAATATGAAGTTAATACAGACTTTTTAAAATCGTTAAATGAAAGACAGAAAATCACTCGAAATCCTTGGGCGCACTTCGGGACGACAGAGTCTGTCAGAGATCACATGATTGATTTTATGCTAGATATCCAATCAGAACTCAGACGTTATGGATACGTCATCGATTATAACGTAGTTCAACGTGGTATTACGATTATAGAAAGTGTAATGATTTGTGATAAGACAGCATTTGGTCTTGCGGACCTGGAAGAAATGGCAATCGCAGCATTATGCCTTGCATTAAAATGCGCGGAACGATACCAGTCACGACACATCATCTCATATGCTTGCGAATGTATTCAGGGTGGTTACTTCGATCCCAAACGAATTTCACAAACAGAAGCTAAAATATTACGGATTTTGAACTTTAATATCAATAGCGTCACTTACCTCGATTTCATTCATGCCTTTTGCGATATTGCTATTAGCAAGACTGACACTAAATACGGCAAAAGAAGAATTGAGTTAATAAGGCGCGAATCTGTGAAATATTCGATTATAAGTAAACAGCGATTTGTGCCCAATATTAAGCCGTCCACACTGGCATATTTGTTTTTGCTTAGCACCTGTGAACAACTGAGCTTGCATTTTGAATCAATTTTTGGTGAATATTAGGAAATTGCCTATAATTAATTCACTTTAATAATAATAACATTTACTTTTATGCTTAATCATTTATATCATTTATTAAATAATTTATT